AGAGAAGTAATAAACTATCTAAACTGAGTTTTTTATATTAAAAATAGTAAGGGCGAAACAATTTTATTTTCTAAAAAGTATTTTTTGAAAAATATTTTGAGAGAGAGAGAAAGAGTTTTCGTCGAAATCTGTAAAATCATTTCAACCATTGAAGGCTAAAGTTGCGAAATAGTCGAAATGACGTCATATCACATGATTTTTCATATTGAGAAAAACAATAAACAAAAAATATATGATCTCGGTCAATATCACACCGATTTGTATTAAACAACTACCATTCGATTCCTTGCGACTTGACGGATCCAATAAGCTAACATTCATTGATTTTGGATCATCCAATCGCAAGATATTCGCAATTGTATTATCAGCCAAAATTATGAATCAATAAATTCTACTTTAAATAAAGGAGTCTGGATTTCAAAATACAATCGCGAATATCTCGAGATTAGCTAATCTAAAATCAATGAATATTAGCTCATTGGATTCGTCTAGTTGCAGGGAATCGAATGGTAGTTTTTGCATACGAATCGGAGCGATATTGATCAAGATCGTACATCTTTTTTTTTCTATATATTAAAAATCATGTGATATGACGTAATTTCGACTATTTCAACTTTTCATTTCGACTTTGACCTCCAAAGTCGAAACATTTCGACTTTTGGGTTTTCATTTCAACTTCATGTATATTCGGAATGATGATGTATCGTTCCAAAAGAACGATAAAATAAATTGTTCTAAAGAAACGATAATGTATTGTTCTGATAAAACGATGAAAAAAATAATCATTCTAAAGGAACAATTATGTCTCGTTCCAAAAGAATGATAAAAGAAATTGTTCTAAAGGAATGATGATATATTGTTCCTTTGGGGACGATTTTATTAATATCCATATTATCCAGATATCCATGGATAGCATAGATATGGATTATCCGTTCAATTTTTTTAAATTATCATATTCAGGTTTAATTTTTATATGTATAACGGATATTAAATTTATATTATGGATATATATCCATGGATAATATGGATACTCAGATTCAAACTCTATTTAAACGTATTATTTCTGTATACTTTCCTTATACTAATTAGTTATAGGGTTTACATCTTTTGAATTTTGTTAAATGCACAAGTTATTTCTCAGTCAAACATGACATAGGTTATTGCTTCTAGAGCATTGAGATTTCGCAATTCTTTTTGAACTCTAGATATACATAATAAACCAATAATAGCATCAGTAGCTATTTCAACTAAGGCTCTACATATTATTTCCACTTCTTTTTTGCTAAGATTATCTCGTATAAAATACTAAGCCATTTCTTTGATAGTCTCTCCTTCTGGAATAATATCAGATACTTGGTATATATTTACTTCTGCTTCTGACTCTTCTTGAGAAGTTACTTGTATTTTAACTTGACCAGTTCTTTGAGGGAACTAGATAGATATCTGTTCTTTACTAAAATAATATTCATTTTTAAGTCACTGATGACTCTAATCTCTTTTCGTTACATCTATCAAGAGCTTGAGTAATTCTGATGCATATTGACTAAGTTCTTCATTATTCATCTTTGGGTTGAATTTATAGTCTGTAACGTGCTTTGTTATAATTGTAGACATGATAATATAAAACGAGATTATAAATCAACTATTAGATTATGGTAAACTGTTAGGTTATATTACGCATAAAAAAATTCAATTCAAAAAAATACCTTATCAGAGATTTCAGAATATGCTTTAACTTTCTTTTGGTGATTAGTAAAAAGAAAAGGGATTTTAGTCTTGCATAGCTTTGGCTGAAAGCGTTAAAGCAAAGGAATTTTAAATATCTATAATAAAAGTGAAAATAAAGTTTTAAGATTATTAATATCAAAATTATCTTATATAGATCATCTATCCTGTTAATACATCAAGAAAGATAGTTCGATTTGTGGGAAAGAATGCTGGCTTATTTCAGGATGTACCAAACATTATAAAGCCCATCTTAAAACAATATACCTTATCTGTAATAAGTTAACCTATTCTCATACCAGAATCTAATGTTTCGCAAAAAATCTGATTCGATCTATCAGATCCGAATCGGATTCAGATTTGGATTTGATTCAATCTGACAGATTCAGATTTGGATTCAGATCCGATTTGTTAAATTTGAAATAAAAAATGTCACCCTGAAGTTGAACGCGGCATTTATTATTAAAAAAATTTAATTTTTAATAATAAAATTCCACCTGAAAGTCAGACACAGCATTTATTATTAAAAAAATTTAATTTTTAATAATAAAATGCTGCCCAAAAGTCAGATGCAGCATTTATCATAAAATTAATTTTTATAACAAAATGCTGTACCGAAAGTCAGAGTGGCATTTATTAATAAAAAATTAATAAAAATTAATTTTTATAACAAAATGCCATCCTGAAAGTCAGACGCGGCATTTATTATTAAAAAAATTAAATTTTTAATAATAAAATGCTGCCCGAAAGATAGACGCGGCATTTATTAATAAAAAAATTAACTTTATTAATTTTTTATATAAAAATGCTGCCCTGAAAGTCAGATACAGCATTTATTAATAAAAATTAACTTTATTAATTTTTTATATAAAAATGTCACCCCGAAAGTCGAATGCAGTATTTATTAATAAAAAAATTAATTTTTTATTAATTTTTTATATAAAAATGCCACCCTGAAAGTCAGACACAGCAATTATTATTAAATAAATTAAATTTTAATAATAAAATTCCACCCCAAAAGTCAGATGCAGCATTTATTAATAAAAATTTAATCTTTATTAATTTTTTATATTAAAATGCCGCCTTAAAAGTCAGACGCAGCATTTATTATTAAAAAAAATTAAATTTTAATAATAAAATGCCGCCCGAAAGTCAGACATTGCATTTATTAATAAAAAATTAATTTTTATTAATTTTTTATATAAAAATGCCGTCCTGAAAGTCAGACTCGGCATTTATTAATAAAAAAATTAATTTTTATTAATTTTTTATATAAAATTGTCGCAACGAAAGTCGGACATGATATTTATTAATAAAAAAATTAATTTTTATTATTTTTTATATAAATTTGCCACCCTGAAAGTCAGATGCAGCATTTATTAATAAAAAAAATTAATTTTTATTAATTTTTTATATAAAAATGCCACCCTGACAGTCAAATGCAGCATTTATTAATAAAAAAATTAATTTTTATTAATTTTTAATAATAAAATACTGATCTGAACGTCGGAGGCAGATTTTTGTTAAAAAAATAATATTGTTGTTTTTTTTAACATTAAAATGCTGTTCCGAATATCAGAAACATATTTTTGTTAAAAAACAACAAAATTGTTTTTTAACATTAAAACGTCGTTCTGAACATCAAAGGCAGATTTTGTTCTAAATTGTTATTTTTTTAACATTAAAACGTTGTTCTTAACGTCAGAGACAGATTTTGTTAAAAAAATAGCAAAATTGTTGTTTTTTTAACATTAAAACACCATTCTGAATGTCAGAGACAGATTTTTGTTAAAAAAATAACAAAATTGTTGTTTTTTAACATTAAAACACTGTTCTGAATGGTGAAGGTGATTTTTGTTAAAAAAATTTTTTTAATCTGTCAGATACGGATACGGATTCAGATTTGTCAGATTTAGATTCGGATTTATCAGATTCGGATTTTTCAGATTAAAATCGAATTAGATTCAGATTTTTTGGATTCAAATTAAATCAAATTTTGCTCAAATCTGATCTAATTCGATCTCTGTAGAATACTATCAGAATCTGTAGTATATATAGTGGAATTTATGACTATGTCTGGCGTGAAATAAAAAACTAAAACAGAATCAATCACTTTAGGATTATCTGATGTAGTCAAGATACTTGGCAAAAAAACAATCTAGACTGGAAAACTATTTTTTCTTATCCAATCGAATTAAAAAGGTTTTTGGATCTCATTATCTGCATTTGTCCTATATGGTGGAAGTTCTAGTATGACTTTATCTCCAAAACCAAGACCATCATATGGTTGGTGATTAATTTTGTATGAATATTCCTAAATCCACTTTTTATTAGAACCTATTTTTTCCGATTGCTTTTAACTGTATAGCCATACCAATTACTAGTGATTGTATTGATTGTTTTTATGGCTAATATAAGATCAGGCTTTCTTTTGCATGGAACTTAAAACTAAAGAGTAATAAAGACTGATTTCGGATTTCTATAAATTTTTTATACGATTGAGTGAATGCTTCTAAAATAATATTATCTAAAAGAGTACATATATCATTAATACCAGTAAAGCCTAGTATTTGAAAAAGTTTCCTTATAGCTTTCCAGTGATTTGCTGAATAAGATTTATGCAAGTCCTCTGCCACTGATTTTTCTAGATTCTCTTCAGTTCTATAGCAGGCAATTTTCTATTGTATATTTTTTTCAGCTTTCAATCCCTTCATTGCACTTTCCTCATCATTACCTTATCTTCGAAAATAAGACAACTATAAGAAATACTTCTGAGCTTTAAGTGAACTAAAATTTTCAATAAAATTTCTATTGCAAATATTATTCTAATTCTCAATACTCATGTCTTTACAATAAAGATTCTGCATATAAAAATGTTTAAGTATCATAATATTTGCGATAGAACGCTCTTAGTCAAATTTAAGAACTTCAGCTTCTTCAGGACTAAGATTCTGGAAAGTAGCAACTGTGTTAAAATCTGTATTCTTGATAACTAATGCTTCAACCCTAATCTCATTATGAACTCTTTTGCAATTCCCTATAACTCCTCAACTCTTATTCATTTTTATAAGTTGGAGGGAAGTGCCTATACTGACTATGAGACTACAAAGCTTTTCAATAAAATATCTTACAGAAAGACATTTCTGCTGCTTAACTTCAATAAAAGTTATTATAGGTGGAGACGAATCAATTTTATAAGAAATGGTATTATTATTCCATTCACAATGTTTCTTTATTACTGTAGGCAAATTATTAGATTGAGTACTTTTAAGCTTTGCTCGAATATTTTCACGACCTAACGGGTGAAAAAGTTCATTAGAATTTTTCTGATAGAATAAAGAAACAATATGATAGAAGAAATCACAAATTCGGTAAATCATTTGTGCAAGAGCTTCAACATGAACTGGAGTGGCAATATTTGTAATGGCTATGACTATACTGAAGTGGCCTATAATTTTAAAAGATATACCTGCTTCTATTGTATTTGTATAAGTCACGTAATCGAGTTTGCCCCAGCATCATTAATATTGGAAAAGTCTTTTTGTCTTTACTTCCCATCCATATTCCCATAATATGCACAGATTCTAACAGGTGAATTATCAGGTTTAGATAACTTAGATGCTTTTTTTACTAACGCTCTAGCTATTACTGCTTCAGTGGATACAAATACTACACATTTTCCTTGTCTCAAAAAGTCATATTTTATTCTTATAGCTTCAATTCTACTATTTAGATCATAAAGAATTTCAACTACTCATCCATATAAGGCTGGTATTTATTATTAATTATATGAATGTCTTTGCTAATGTTGACTTATTCGCAAAAGCATCCATAGCTAAAATATGTCTCACAGATATTAAGATATCATGTATTGTATTCTCAAACTTTCATGCATTTGTATCGCTAGACATTTGATATATGATAGCATTAGCTTCATTAAGAATAGCCACTAACGGACGAGCTGTGAATTCAATATGAAAAAGACTTTCAATTTGTATTATAATAATATTCCACTCATTTATAAATAAGTCTTCTAGCCTATTTTAGTAATTACAAATTCAGAAGCTGAACACTTTTAATTCATCAAGTTTTGCTTTTAACTTATTACTAAGAGATTTTCGGAAAGAGATCCAGATATAATATGGTATAGAAGAGATATCATGCACTTTACTCTTTAATGCCATAATAATTTCTCTTAATGTAGTAGTTTTCCATGTTGCTAGGGATGAGCGAATTAATGTAGTTATTCTTTTAGTACTTAAAAAATCAGAATATGATTCAGGAGCATCTTTCAGCTTTTTAACATTAATAACTTCTTCCGACAACTCTATAAGAGGATGTATTTTGCTACAGCATTAGTTATTTTTTCAGCTAATTCTCACTTAGGTATTATGAGAATTTTAGTCACTTCTCCAAATACCAAACCTTTATGATTTGGCTTATATTATTTTTGCTAATAGCATTTAAGTATAAAACATCCATCTTTTTGAAGAAAGTCATACAATTGATTCCTTTTATGTTTGATATTACAAATAGGGTATTCTATAAATGATTTGGCATAAAAGGTAATAAACACTTTTTCAGCTTTTCTGATTTCAAGCCATTTATATTTTGCAATAACTAGGCTAGCTCACTTGCTTAAAGCAGTTTCATCTTCGATAGGTTTGAACTCCTCTTTTTCTAACTTTTCAGAAGAAAAGGTTCATGGTCAAATTTCTAAATAATTTGGTTTAAGTTGAACTAAATAATCCTCTAGTTTGCACATTCTGTTTGTGACTGAAGAAATCACAGGTCTTTTGATTCTATCTCACTTTGCTGATCCAAGAAGTTAAAGACTAAAGCGTGATTTGTAAAATGTAAGATTGATAAATTTAGAATATGGTTTTCCAACTCTATCAGTGACTTTTTCTACAAAACCCTAAGGTCTCTATAATCATTAAAACAAGCCAAAGGATATATAATATGCCAACTGCATTTATCAGTACTAGACGAACTAGTTAAAGCAAAGTCATTTAAAGTTATGAGATATTTTAAATCAGAGTATAAAATATCAGCACAAGCAATTAAAATTCTGGATAATAAATATCACAAGAAATTTTCTAAGGAAGGAAGTTTAGAATTTGTGAGATCAAGCTTTTGCCTTATATTAATGTCAAGAACCAGGCAAAGAAGCAGGTTATCATCAATACATTCATAAGCATCAGGCATCCCATAAGTTTCAGATAGATGATTAATAACTGTAAAATCCTTTCCAGATACTTGAATTATATATTTAGAAAAAATCTCTTCAGGATGATAAACGTCTAAAAGAGTGATATCATCTTTATTATTAGTTTCCAATAAATGTTGAAAATATGTATAATCATTATAACCAGGCTTATAATCAAGGTCCGTTACATTTGAGAAGAGCCTTATTGCTTTATTTATTTCTATAGGGTTGAATTTGAATTTTTTTGCGCAGGTGTAGATAGCATAGTAGTATATACAAGAAATCAGTATAAAACTAGGGAACAGTAACCATTGTATGTCTGAAGCATAATTTTGATAATTCAGAATTATTTCAGTTAACTGGGCTTATAAGTAAAAACCACGTATTTATAAATGCTCTTTTGTATTAAATTTTTATTGACCTTAAATCATGTGATGTGAGATAATCTAAAATGAAAATAAATTAAATTAATCATACATGCATATGTGACAATAGTAATACATAATATAATTGGATATTGGTATATGCAGGACAGAACTACATTGCATGTGAATTGGCTAGTAATGGGTTGTCCTCCATTATGCTTTGGACAATAACAAAGAAACTTGTAAAGTTTAAAATAAAAAATGTAATATGTATGAATCAAAAATGAAATAAAAAAGTATAAACCATTCTGACCTCTAATCAGATTACTAGCATAAATATATAATAAATATATTAAATAATACTCTAAAGCAAATGTTATCCTAAAGTAGTAACTAAAGTTGCTTGTCTAAACTCATTTTGGATTTGGCAAAATGGTAAAACCTTTAATTTCGCTAAATTTTTACTAAGTATTTGATACAGTTTCGCCATTTTTATAAGCTTTGATATAGTTTTACCTTTTTCCAAATTTCGCAGACTTTTTAATAAGATTTTAATATAATTTAATCAAGTTTTACTTTTATCATTTAGACATTTGTCTAAACTCTTGATTTCGTCCAGCAACCTTATTCTCGTGTAATATAAATCATGATAAATTTGATATAAAAATTGATTGGTATAAACAAAGCCTAAATAAATTTAATAATCATATTTAAAAATAGCTACTGGATTATCACATTAAATATTTATTTAATATACTACATATTGCAAGAGAAAATTGAGTTTTTATATCAAATTTATTTTCAGAAACTTCATGATTGAAAATCTGAATTGGCCATTTGACATTCCTATCTGATTAAAGTAATCAATATAATACTTCATTAAGTCAGTATTTATTTATTCATTTTTTTGAAACTATATAATTATATTAGAAGAAGCCTTTTCACTATGTGGCATTTGCTTTTCTTTGAAAATACAGATTGGCGGCAACTTGATTCTATCTGTAATAATATAATAAAGAAGATAAAGAAGATTTAAAAATAAGTTTTATAATTAAATAAATAAAAATATCAGATTTTGCTTACTACACATGTAAAAATAACAGTAAACTGATTATTTTCATTATCTGTACTATGAATATAAACTGTTTTTCTCCTTTTTGATTGATAGTAAATTTCTAGGTAAACTGGAATTTTATTTATATTAAAGATATTATATAATTCAATAGAATTTTTTATTCTAAAATGAATAACAAATTGATAAAGATTTTCCAATAAATTTTCCAATTGTTCTAGAAGTTTTAAGATATTCTTATACATTTTTGTAAAGCTAAATTATGACTTTTTATAAATGTGAAATGTTGCATAAAATTATTTGCTAAGTTACTATATCAAGATATCATGTCTGATTCCTTCAAAATTTTAAACATTTGAAATCTTATACTCATAAAAGTTACTGTTAGTGTCTTTTTCTTTACTCAATAATCCAATTGTATAAATTTTCCTCAGCTTTAGGAAAATAAGCTTTTCATTTAGAACCTACTCACATAGTATTATTTTTTGTCTCATTTATCCAATTTTCACTTATCTTAATCAGTATCCAACTATAGATTTATCAAGGTCAAAATATCTGGTCACTTCATTTCTTTCATGTTAATTGATATTATTAATAACAACTTTTTTTTTGTTCAATAGAATATGAAGCATATTAGCATTTAATAACTTTTAGCATAGTGTGTATAAAATAGTTAAAAATTTCAGAAGTTGTAAAGGTCGCATAAAACTTATGAAGATTGTGATAGTCACATAATTATTAAAAAACCTTTTTATAATTACATAAAATTGCATCATTGTGAAATCTAATTTTATTATTATTTTTTATTTTTTAATAAATTTTTTAACCAAAATTTTTAATGAAGTTTAAATTGAATAAAAACATTTTTATAAAACTATTAAAATTAAGCATATCTCCAACTTTTTGTTCAAAATCCTTACAAAATAGAATGCTTAATATTGGAAAAATATAGTACATTAGAAATATTTTAATGTGAAGTATTATATAAAATTTAGTTTATAAATTTATGGAAGTATTACATCATAAGTTTTGTAAATTTTACATTTTTGATGTAATTCTTCATAAGATTTACAATAAAGATGGTACAGCAATTGATTTCAAATTTACAAAATGTTGCAACATGAGCTAAAATTAGTTGCAACATATGTTGCAACATTATAAGTTGCAACATATATAGGTTAAAACTAATTGTAACGTAAGTTGCAACATTAAAAGTTGCAACATATTAATTACAGTTCCCATCTTTAATTTACAATTTATAATATTTATACTATATTATGATCAAAATATTTTGAAAGGTTTACAGTTTATAAAGTTTACGTAATACTATGGTCAAAGTATTTCAAAATGTTTATAGTCTATAAAATTTGTATAATACTATAATCAAAATACTTCAAAAAATTTATGGTCTATAAAGTTTGTATAATACTATGATCAAAATACTTCAAAAGATTTACAGTCTATAAAGTTTACATAATACTACAATAAAAATATTTTGAAAGGTTTACAATTAACGAAGACGCTTTTTACTATGGTTTTCTTAGCAAATATTACCTCTGAAACTTTGGAGTTGGCTTTACTATTATTAATTTGAATTTGATCAAATAAATTATTCTTTGATTTAAATTTAATCAAATCAAATTGTGAAATCCTAAATAATTGTATAAATAAAAGCTTATCAATAGAAAAGAAGGAAATCTAAAAAAAATTATAATTTTACTTCATATGATATGCTTGCTAAATATGATATTTTTTTAGTAAAATAAGTCCAGTTTTAACATTAATTCATAAGTTCCCAAATAGTAACTTGATTCCTGTTACACCACAATTGGGATTGGCTCTTTTATTGTTATTGAACTCAAAATAGATTGGATATTACACGTGGCATAAAAAATCGGGTTCTCTTTCTTTTCGCGCTACCTTATAAGAATTACTTTTATCATGCCTTTTTTTAAACCGCCAAATTTCGTAATGATAGCTGGTAACGATATGTTAAGATTTTTATTTTTCAACTTTATTAAATTTTATAATTTATATTTGTTTGTTTTTTTTCTCCCTCGTAGCTGCCTCATTAAATTGGGGAATCGGTATCAATAATAAATTACCCTGGAAACTTAAATCAGATATGGCATATTTTGAAAGAACTTCCAAACGAATATTACCAATAGAAGATAATAAAGTTCAAAATGCTGCAATTATGGGACGTAAAACGTGGGAATCTATACCACTAAAATTTCGACCACTTCAAAATCGATTAAATGTTGTAATATCAAAAAGTCTCAAAAAGGAAGAAATCATGTAAGCTTTTAAAATTATAATGAATGTATATAATAATTTGTAAATTATAACAATCATCTTTACATTTTGAAGAGATGCGAATTTTGTGATTTATTCATCTTTAGATGAAGCGATAACAGATCTTAGCAACTCTTCAAAAGTTTCAAGATTATTTGTAATAGGAGGATCCCAAATTTATAAAGAAGCAATTACTTCACCAAATTGTGTTTATATACTTTTAACAAGAGTATATAAATTTTTTGAATGTGATACATTTTTTCCCGAAATAAATGAAAAAATGTTTAGTTTAACAACTCACGAGGAATTAGAAGAGGTCGTTGGTGAACAAGTTCCTAAAGGACGTCAAGTTGATAATGGAATGGAATATGAATTTTTATTATATAAACGGATAATATAAAGTGTTTACATATTCACAAATCAAATAAATTTAAAGAAAAGAATTCATTATTCGAAGTGAATAACTGCACGAATACTATAATAATAAAAAATATTAATTCGTGATGCATTACTAGGAATTGAAACGTCCGTATAAATTATAACCTACCTTTCACCGGAATGTATATTATCAAAAGCTTTATTAATATCTTCCAATTTATATTGTTGAGTAATGAACATATCCACTTCTAGTTTCTTGTCAAGATAATCTTCAACTAAATTTGGTAATTCACTTCTTCCTTTTACACCACCAAATGCACTTCCTTTCCATGCCCTTCCGGTTAAAAGTTGAAAGGGACGAGTACTAATTTCTTCACCTGCACCAGCGACTCCAATGATAATGGATTCTCCCCATCCTTTATGACACGATTCAAGTGCTGCTCTCATTACGTTTGTATTTCCTGTACAATCAAATGTATAATCAAATCCTCCATCTGTCATTTCAACTAAAACCTATATCGTAATAAACATTTTATTTATTTCTTTATTTATTGGCTGGACCAAAAGAAGTATCAATCTTTACCTGTTGAATCGGCTTATCAAAATCATTGGGATTAATACAATCGGTTGCTCCCAATTTCTTAGCTAAGTTGAATTGAAAACGAGATATTTTTTAGTAAAAATTACAATTTACTTTAAATCATCATATGAAAGATAATTACCAAACTCAAATTTCTTTGGAATGGTATCAATAGCAAAAATTCGACTAATTAAATATATAATATTAGAAAAGCTTTGTCAAAGTTATTAATATAGTTCTATAACATTACATTACCTTGCTTTACGAGATGCAGCACCTTGGATTACGGATAAACCAACTCCACCACAACCAAATACAGCTACTGTAGATCCGGGTTGGATGTTGGCAGTTTTTGTGGCCGCTCCATAACCTGTTGTAATACCGCATCCAAGTAAACAAACCTTATCGAGTGGGGCTTTAGGATTAATTTTTGCAACAGATATTTCCAACAAGACTTTTATATAATAAATTTATCAGTTAATTGAAATAGTTTACTTTTAAATAATAGAATGTTCTTTACCTGTGTATTGACTAAATGTAGAACAACCCATATAATGGTATACTTTCTGCCCTTTACAAGTAAATCTAGTTGTTTCATCTGGCATGACTCCTCTTCCCTAAGATAAATCACGAAAGATTTTTTTTTTTTATAAAAAAAAATTTTTTTTTCATGAAAAATTACTCTGTTACATTTTGAATATTACCTGAGTAGATCTAACCAAAGAACATAAATTGGTTTTTCCACTTTTACAAAATTTGCATTCACGACATTCGGGAATATATAATGGAATCACATGATCCCCTGGTTGTACTGAAGTAACGTCTTCTCCAATTGATTCTACAATACCACCTCCTTCATGCCCAAAAATTGTCGGCCACCATTCTCCTTCAGGATCTGAAAAAATAAATAAAGTTCAGATAGATTGTTTTTATTATAACTATAGGTGACCTTTTTATTGTACCTTTGCCAGATAGAGTATACGCGTCTGTATGACAACTGAAACAAACAATAAGTTTTAGTATGATATTTAATCAGTTTAATAATATTATATATATATATATATATAAAAGGAAAGCTTACACTCCAGTTGCCAATATTTTTACACGAACTTCTCCTTTCTATAAAAAAAGAATCTATATATTTAATAATTATATATTTGCTGCGGCATATGAAATTTTGACTTACCTTCGGTGGTGCAACTTCTACTTCTTCAATGCCTATGTTCGAATTATAAAAATTAAAATGTCGTAGGATTTAAATTAAATAATTAACATTTTTTAAGGTTCTTTACTTAGTGGCTTAGCCGGTCCCCAAGCTACTGCCGCTTTACACTTAATAACCTATATTGAAAGATAAATTAAATATATTACATTTTTTTTTATACCTTTTATAACGGTCAAGAAGGAAGTTACTTACTTGTCCCGCTGTTGACATTTTTTTTTCTCTTAAACAGAAAGATTGATGCTTAAATATTTCAAAATTCATGTGCATCTTTGATAAATTTGGATAATAGCTAACTTGAATGGTGATAGCATGATTTTATATCAATTCTTTTTAGATAAGATAATTTTTAAATGTCATAGGTAAGTCGGGCGAACTAAATAAAAATTTATAACTGACCCTTCCGATACTCTGTTAATTAAAAAAAATTTATAACATGCAATCCTAAATGGAAATCCAATTAATGGAATATTTATTTTATTATATTGAATATTAAATATATTCCACTACTTGAGAAATACCGCGTCAAACCACCGCTATTTTCAAGTTTTCTGAGGACTTTGAAATTTTTTCATTATGGAAATCCTAATGGTCACACTCAGCGGCTGTCCACATAAAATTTCACAGTATTATTTTTCGTTAATAAGTGCTATGGTTATTTTTGCTCTTCTAATTTATTTTTATTTTTTTAAATATAAATAAAAAATGAAAGATTACTTAAAACTAAAATTTGTAAATTTTATTATATATTAAAGAATTTAATTATATTAATCATAATAAATTTATCATAAAAAAATTAACTAAAATTTTTATAAAATAATTTTATTATTATTAGTCTGAAGCAAAAATGTAACTAAAGAGTATCAACTCATTTTTTTGAATAGTTAAACATAGAATTTAATAATATATAGATTAATAAACATATAAAATTTTAAATCTGGCTTAGCTGTAAGGGATTAAATTGTAAAAAAAAAATTTTTTAAAATAATTAAAGTTATAAATGTTATATCTAATTCACTTAGAAATAAATTTTTGAAAAAATTTTAATTTGGTAACACTTATCCTATATATGCTATAGGTCATGTTAGATATCAACTTTATAAGAAATCCAAATAAGAAAATAATACATTTTTTATAAGATTTAAGATCAGACCAATTAGATTATCTGTTTAATATCAACCTTTTCCCCCATATTTTGATATTAACAAATAATTTAATAATATATATTAAATTACATAATATATATCTAAGCTATACATGAAGTCGAAATGAATCATTTCAGATATCCAAAATAGTCGAAATGATCAAAATCATATTTTTAACAATGTGGCACTGCCAATAACTTTATTTAATTTTTATAAGTAGTAAATACAAAAGTAGAAACAAAAAACTAATTTTAAAGTACTAGCTATCCCCTGTAGTTATATTATAAATCCGTTTGAATCGACCTATCATCATCTTTTCCCTCCAACAGACCCACTAAATGCATATTTAATGACTACTGTTATCACCAGAAAAAGAAAAAGAAAAAAGTTACTGCCTATCTAAAAATCCATCCAAGAGTTATCATATATGTTTGCTTTGTGAATTCATGATTCCCAAATTAGGGATGAAAGTTTTTTAAGGGAGTGCAGTAAATGTTTGCAGGCATCTTGCTTGCGTTTGATTTGTTTATTAATGCCTTTTGAAAGTTCATAAGCAATGAGAAGTTTGTATCTGTATTTCTATACATTATCGTATAGATTTTTAAAAAAGAAGATTAAGGAGTTCATTATAGTTATATAGCAACTATTCTTATTCTTTGTAATTTTGTGAACAAGTGAAATGAATTCATTGGGAAGTTAGCATTGGATGACATTTAGAAATCCATCCGTTGAGAAAGAAGGGGATGCAAAGAGTTCATCATAAGAACAGAGTAGTTCAGATAAAGCGTCATAGTATGAGTTAAAGTTGGAGTGTTTTTTTCAAATCAGTTAGTAAAAGATCTTTGGTTTGTGAGATTATATTGTTGATAATTGTAGAGTAGGCTGAGCAAGACCACATATGAGTAGAAGTTTCAGTAGTAATATTGCAACCAACACAATACTAATTTTTATAAAGATCAGGTCTTAATTGTTCTAATCGAGAGAGAGTAAGAAGTTCATTAACAAAAATTTTTATAATAAAGGATTTGAATCGTGAAGTTTCAAAAAATGTTGATAAGAAAGAGGAGTTAAGGGTGAAAAATTGCCAAATAAGAGGCCAGTGAAAATCACTATGAGTATTAATGTGATCATTCCTATTAAGATCTAAAAAAGCTGAGAAGTTGGAAGCTGAGAAAAGATTCTTGAAAAATTGACGAATAGAAGATTTAATAGGAATATTATTGAAAGTAAAAATCATAGATAATCTAGAAGTATGAACAAGGGAAGGAGATAAAGAAGGAAGATCATGACCAGCTTTAACTAGTGAATCAGCCATATCATTAGAAAAATCTCTATTATGAGCTTTAACTTTGTAAAGATAAACTTGGAGTTCAGAAGATTCCATTATATATTGAATGAGGTACCATAATGTGTAATTGGCTGATTTTTCTTTAGTTCTAGTAGAACATAATTGTTGAGTGATGTGAGAGTGAAAACCATGAATGGTAGCTTGACTATCAGTGTAAATCTGTATAGTTGAGTATTTGGAGGAGATAACTAAAGCTAAGAGAATAGCGAAGATTTCAGCTCGAGTTGAGGAGGGACAATGATTAATGGAAGCATTGAACATTAATTGTGAATTTAAATCAGTATAACAGATCCAACCAATACCCATTTTACATTGATCAGTTTTTGAAGCAGAGAGAGAACCGTCTGTGTAAAATGATAAAGATTTACAGATAGAAACTTCTGAATTAATTGATCGCAGTTGATTGTAATATGAGAAATTAGGAAAGATTTGTTCAATAAGATCTTGAAAAAGAGAAGGAGTATTGGGTATGACACAGATAGAATGAGATTGTACAACTCTAGTGATTTCATGCAAGGAGTGTCTAAGTTGATGAGACACTGTTTTAACAGATTTTGGTGTAATTAGAACTTGAACAACACTGTGTTTTGCTATAGCAAAATTACAGAAGTTATAATATGGAGTTAATGGAACTCTATTACAACTGTCACATTTGATAAGCCTTCCAATGTTATTTTCAGAAGAGTAAAGTAATGTTGAATGATGAACTCATCAGGCCTAATATTTTTACTTACAATTTGACCAAAAATAAGTGTAGTATTAGACAGATCCCAGATAGAAACAAATTCTTTCTTTCTGTCTGCAATCATTATAGGTTTAGCAAGATTGAGATAGTTGGGAAGACAATCTAGAAAGTATTCCTCTTTAAGAAATGTATCTGAAGGGTTTTCTAATCAAAAAGATTCTAAAAGGGGTATAAATTTTGAATGACGTATTTTTGTAGTAGAATGATTGAAGTCTCTATATAAAAAGTTAGCTCAAGTTATAAGGTAACATTCTGTAAATGATGTAAGCTGATCTAGATAGAAGAGATTATGCTTTTTTAGTATGTAATGATAATGGATGAAAACATTAAAAGGAATGATTTTGTAAAGTGAAGTAGTTTTTCCAACAATTTGATTCTTAAGAGTAGGAGAGCATATACATGAAAATTTTTGGGAGCCATGACTAATTAGACTTAAGGAGACACCAATTAAATTTTTGTATGATTTACTAGTAAATGGATAGTGTCAGTGATCCAAAGGTAAAGTAGCTAACATATTAAGTGATTATAATTAAAATAGTCTGATAGTTGAAATGTTCTTATAAAATATGTTGTTGTTGAACTGGTTTAAAAGAGCGGTAGAAATTGATTGTGCTTGAAGTGACCAAAGATTATTAAGGTTATAAAAATATTTAAGGTGTAGGAGAACCGTGGGAAGAGTGGAAGAGAAGTGGAGTTTTAATTTGAACAGGGATCTTATGGGAGCAAATAAGATATCACATTCATTTTTTGATAGAGGAGTAATTTGCATGCAATATTTAAGTAAAGGACAGAGAATCATATTAATGATATAAGCCATTTGTTTGTCAGTTACTGGTTTACATTTCATAGCATTAATGAATTTATTGATATCTTGTCTGATTTGATTTTTGACAAAGGATTGTGAACATTAACTATTGATCCATACTCCTAGAAAATGAACAGAATCAGTTTCAGGTATGATATCTATATGTGAAGATCCAAAGCGAAGATTAACAGGAGAAGATGATGTGAAATTAGTAACGAGAAGCTTAGATTTATCTTTGTTCAAGGCAGCTCTAGTTAAGTTATAAAAGTCATTAACTACATTGAGGATGCATTCTAAATCTATTTGGCTAATAGCAATTCAGTTAGTATCATCCATAAAGGCTAGTGAAGATACGGATTCAGAAAGGGTGATAGTTGAGTTATCAGTAATATCAGAGATCCATGTATGGTTTATAATGTAGCCTTTATTAAGAGAATTGATTTCACATAGGAGAGGATCTAAGTAAATACACCATAAAAGTGGTGAAATAACTTCTCCTTGATCTATACCAATTTTAACATCGTAGTAAGAGGAGATACCATCAGAAGTCAAGATAGCATTCTTGCGAGCAGTAAAGAGATTGATGATTAGATTTGAGGCTAACGTAGGAAGTTTAATTCTCTGAAGAGCAAGTTTGAGAAATTTGAGATCCACTCTATCATAAGCTTTAGAGAGGTTCTGAAGGAGAATCCAAATGTTTTTTTTATTTTCTATAGCATCTTTTAATAATATATTCATAATTTTAATAGGTGGTTTAGTAGACCCTCCAGGCAATTCTGCGAAGTTTCTTCCTCTTAATACGTTGTGTTTAGCTAGGATTTTAGACAATCTATCATTGATAATTTTATCAAAACCTTTACGAGCTATTTCTAGAAGTGTAATTAGTCTAGTTTTAGTTATATCACAATTCCAATCCATGGGTTTTGGAATAGGATAGATGTGTGCTATCTTCCATTCATTAGGAATTTCACCAAGAATAAAACACATACAAATTAATTGCCAAAGTAGGTGTTGAAGACGACTTCCTAAATGGGACATCATTTCGTTGGATATTCCTGATGGGCCTACGGCTTTGTTGTGAGGAAGGCCATGTAAAGTTAAAATTCATTCGTCATATGTTGGGGGTTGCATTAGGTTATTATAAACACTAGAATCAATGTGGTCTTGTGG